GAAGAATTTCTTTCAAACAGGCCATAGCAGGTGTCTATCAGCCTGGGGCTGCGGGAGCTGCTGGAGACAGTTTTACTAGGAGCAGAGGAAGGGCAGGCAACAGTGAAGAAATCATCAGAGAGAACTAGAAAAAATCTGGACCAATAGGAGAGAATGGCGGGCCGCTACCTTAGCTGTCCTTCGTGGGAACGTTTTCTTTAACCCTGCAGTGGTTACATGAGACAGACATAAAATTTAGAAATGAAAACTGGTGTAGCAGAGAAGGCCAGCAAGTGCCCTGAGATGAGAGCAATTCGGTGAACTGGAGAGCCAGGAAAAAAATCGTGAGGACCTAGTCATGTGACTGTGGGAAAAATGGAAGGAAATGAGGCCAGAGATATAGCACACAAAGCCTGTCAGTGCACACAAAAAGTTTGATCTTACTTATAAAGTTATGAGACGCTTTGGAGGGAAGGACAGCTAACTGAAGCCTGAGCACATTCCCACTGGCCACTGTGGGTAGTAGTTGGCATGTTGACAAGAATGGAGGTAGAAAGTCTTCTTGGGAAGCTGCCTCAGTCATCCAGGTCAGAGGCAGTAGACTGGTGGTGGGTCTAGGGCAAGGTGGAGAGAGGTAGCCAGATGCAGTAGGGATGTGGGAGGGATAGCTTGAAGGACTTCCTAGTATACCCATATGGGTGGGAAGGAAGGTGTGACTGAGGTGGGTATTGGTTCCTGGGAAAACAGGGCTTAATTCAGGCAGCCTGGAAGAAGCTGTGGGCTTTGGACTCTGTACAACATACATCCCCCAAAATGTTTCTTGCACAAGGCTGACAAGCAGGAATTAGCCAATCCTTGGAGGAATACAATGTGAATGAGTAGTTGATTGTCTCCCTTCCAGTGTGAGGCAGTGCGATTCAGTCCCATCCCTAGTCTCCCAGTGGTCTTTAAATGTTTAGGATTTTTTTTCCTCAAGCACTCAACACCTCCTGACGTACCACATGATCATTCAGGTTTTGTCCACTGTTTGTTTTCCCTCTCCACCCATTCAGAACTAGAATACCAGTTCTGAGACAGCAGGGACTTTTGGTCCTTTTAGTTCCCTAGTATTTCTCCAAAGCCTAAGATAATGTCTGGGAACTCACACTTACTGAATTTCTAGGTTGAATTCTCTTTTTGAAACTCTGTACTTGGAGATGCTTGGCTGCCATGGCTATTGCTCAGTGGAGCTTCCTCCAGTGTCAGACATTGTGGTTGCTCGGAGTGGGGAAGGAATAGTGTGCCCCCTCCCCCCGTGCAGTTGATACTGGCTGTCCACACAGTTGTCTCCACTGCTCTCAGGGGCCCAAAGATCTCCTGTGTGTGAAGATATCTGAGTCACCTATAGCCTCAAAGAGCCCCTTGGATTTCCTTCAAGGTCACCTGTCCCAGAAGCGTGTGACCAAACAAGCCTCAAAGACCACAGAGTTACTCTTTTCCCTGGGACCTGATGCCACATTATCCAGAACTTCTGAAAGGTTTATCCTCCCTCATTACCAAGCTCCTAGTCACTCAAAACAGAGCATCAGGTTCCTCAGGCACCAATAGAAAACATGGGTGAACTGGTCAGGCCCAGTGGCTACTCTGGTAACTGAGTCACTGGGGAGAGAAGTCCAACAACTGCCCTTGTGTAAGTGCTGGGGGACAAGCACTCTACCAGTTGAGCTACATGTGTCACATGTCACCCCCAGCTTCCGAGGTGGTGTCTTGCTTTCTCCCAAGTGAGACAGCACTGTTAAGGTGCTTGTTCTGGGTCACACAGGGTCTTTTCTGCAGCGGGGATTAGAGTAAAGTCTTTTGTGCCACACCTGTCCTTACAGTTGCAGCTCCTCAAGGGAACTTTTCCCAAATTGTACTCAAGGTTAGAATCAAGGCATCTTACTCCGAGTGTTTACAGCCTCGATTGTTCCACACTGTCACTAACTCCGCTCTCCTGTAGCAAGTTTTGCACCTCTCCTCTGGTGAGGGTCTGTTGTCCTAGAGCTGCTTAGGAGCAGGGTATGTGTTGTCATTTCTGTCTGTTCCTGTGCCTAATAAATAGTGCACAACTACTCAGCTGTTGATTGGACTGAACCAAAAGGCTGTGCTGAGGATTGGGGGTGTTAGTTGAGACTCCATGCTCATTCCCAGGCTCCTAATTTACCCTCAGAGCTGAACAGTGCCCTAGTCCTTGTCCCAAATTGGGTCTCCACAGCTGTCTTGAGATTGTGCTGAAACCCATTCTACTTAATCAAAATCACAGACTGATAGATAACACAGTTTGGACTAGAACATATCAGACTTTCTGAATGCTTTTGACGCACTAAGTAGCCTAATGTCCACATGACCTGTTAGGTGGCTTTCCAAGCAAGGGGTAAAGTTGGTGGCTTTGAGATGATTTAGGAAGTGTTGTGAGTCTAAGAATATGAAATTTCCTTATCAGTTTGTTGGGGTATTCTTTTGAGAATCCTCAAGTCTTCAGAGAGAAGTGGAGACCAGCTGTATATACATTTAGGATGGTGGCCTCATAGCACAAAGAGCAAACATCTGAATTCCCTGTGACCTCCCAGTCTGAACCTCTAACTAGTCTGGATGGAAGAAAAGATGTCTGGGCACATTTCCCATCCTGAACTGTTGGCCACAGGCACATGGAAGAAAGCTGCAGACCAAGTGGGTCCACCTGAAAGCATAGCATGTGGCGGTTTGACTGCTCCTCTGGACAGACGTTTCCCTTGTTCAGGATGCTCTTAGCAGGGTGCCAGTCACATTTGGTTCACTTCTCTCCTGCTTCCTTAGCTTCAGACTTGAAAAACAGTCCTGCACGGTCATTACCGCAGTACTGGGTTGTATGTACTCATTACCTTTCTGTGTGTGGCAGAACAGTGAGCTAGCTGGGACTAGACCTTCCTTTCTGACTTTCTCCAGCATTCATTCATAGCCATGTTCTCTGGCACACATGTGTATGTTTTTGATCATAAAAGCAGAAAAAGAGCCTTGTGGAGAGGCCCCAAGCTACTGCTGTGTCTTACCCCATGGCAGCTCTGAGGATGAGGAAGGATAAACCTCGGAGGAGGCAGCTAGAGTAGGATGGTGGGAGCAGGGTAGGTGGAGCATGAGTGTGATGAGGACAGTGCGGGAGGCTGGAAGACGCCTCCAGATAGTTCCTATCCAGTGACATTTCCCCATAAACTTCACGTAACGCAGTGTGAAGTGGGAGTAAATGGAACGATGACTTCATTTTGAGTGCCCACCAAATCATTGTAGGCTTTGCCATGCCAGATTCTACTGTACTAGTGTGTGATAGCTTCCCAGAGAGGTGGGAACTAAGACCCTGTTTGCTTTACCCACAGCCTCTTACCTGAAATCCAGTAGATGAGCAGGAGCCCTGCTTCATCTTAGAGCTACCAAGTAGGCTCTTATGAGGGACTGCCTTGCTCCCAGCTCTGGGGGGTTTCTTCAGTGATGGTCTCAGCCACTTTTAGGGATCATTTTTGGTGTTACATGTTGAAAGCAAACAAGTCAGGGCTTTATGCATTGCCTCAGAGTCTGGTCTAGTTTCTTGACTTGGGACATGTGTCACTGCGTACTCCACCACTCACTATTTATAGGCCGCCAAGTCAAAGGCAGCTGGTTTATACCAAGTGACTATGGAGTGGGAGTCTGGCAGGACAGACATGTCCTGACCTCCAGAAACTTACAGTCTTGGGGCACATAAGCTCTAAATAGCTTTTTGTTTTTGTTTGTTTGTTTGTTTGTTTTCAAGACAGGGTTTCTCTTTAACAGCTCTGGTTTTCCTGGAACTCACTCTGTAGACCAAGCTGGCCTTGAACTCACAGAGATCCGCCTGCCTCTGCCTCCCAAGTGCTGGGATTAAAAGCATGCACTACCACCACCCAGCTCTAAATAGCTTTTATAAAAGCTCCAAAGTGATCAGATACACACAGGACCTGCAGTGGGGACAGATGCAGAGACACCTCCTGGGGACATGAGTGACACTAGTGTGTCACTCTAGCGCTGGGTTGAGTGAGAACTCTTCCTTTCCTGGATCATAATCCTCCGGACAGACACACGTTCAAGGCAGCATGCCTTACTCTTAGCAGTTGTCAAGTGAGAGGAATGAATGGACAGGAGTTTTCTCAAGGCAGTGGCCCTCACCTAAGCTTTGAGTCAGACCTATGGATGTAGGAAGGAGAATGCATCTTAGGAAATAGTGTTCCTAACTACCTGAATAACAATGAAGTCATTTTCAAGGCCCAAAGGTTGCGGGGGATATTTTTCCTGCCAAGCACTGCTTGACCACCCGACACAGCCTAGCCTTCTTCACTGAAGTGTGCTAGGCGACACAACATCAGTTCCAGGACATTGAGAAGGGAAATTCCATGGGCCAAGCCCAGGAATCCACCCTGTTGTCCTGGTCCTCCCAAGGTGGGAATGGAACTGTGGCCTGCATCTTTTACGTCAGTCCTTAGGGAAACCTGTCAGGAGGCACTGTCCAACAGAGGGACCTAAAATAGCTGTTGGAGTAGCCTTTAGGAAAACACTTAGGTGGTAGGTTTGGGACATGATAGTAGAGCTCAAAGAAGGATCGTCTCACACTTTGACTTAGGGCTTTTGCTAAGAGGTAATGCACCACACACCACACACGTGGCAGCACACACCTTTAATTCCAGCTCTCAGCAGGCAGAGGCCCCCCTGGTTTACATAAGTGAGTTCCAGACCAGCCAGAGCTACATGTCAAGACCCTGTCTCAAAAGAAAGGTAACATGTATCTGAATTCTTTACAGATTAGTGGGAATTACTTGTGTCAGTTCAGCTGGAAAGAGAGTCCTAGGCAGAACAGAATGAGCTGGTCTAGAGAGGCCACAGAAGCAGGTTAGGAGCCAGGAGTAGTTCCACCAGACTAGATGGGGGAGGGGCTCAGCTGGAGACCAGTTGGGAGAACAGAATGTGAAGGGTTCTGAGGAACTGCCAGGAGCTGGGTACCCTTCCAGGCTGTGCCTTACCTGCTGACACAGTGTGTATCTTCATTCCACCAGGTAAACCATCAGGGAAATGAGGAAAGAGGAGGGAGGGTATATAGTTGAAGGAAGATGAGCTTACAGACATCAATTTGTCTGAGGTCATAATAGCTGTAAGTGGCCAGGCTCCCAGAAAGGCTTGAAGAAGCAGATTGATCTGCCTTTGCAGCTCTTTCTGTGACCTCATGAGAGAGAGGTGTGTTGGGACTCAGGAGGCTGGAACCCGGAGATAGGAAAGTAGCCAGAGAACTCTGTGATGGTGTAGGTGAGGAAGGACTTAGAACACTGGCAGCAAGGGGGACAGAAAGCAGCAGAGCTGAGATATGTTTAGGAAATGCAACAGCTGGCCTTTTAGCCTCAGAGGGCGAGGATCAAAGAGGTAAGTATCTGAAGTGACGCTCAGGTGTCAGGTGTGGCCTTGAGGCGGGGCTGCTGGCACTTGGTATATTAGGAAACATTGTAAAGGTTTCCTGTTTGAGCATGTTGAGTTTTGAGGTACCTAAGGTATAGCCAGTAGTCATAGGGTCAGGGTCAGAGAGGTTCGTTAACCCAGGATCTCTCACATACTGGTGATCACTGTGAGCACTGTGGCCATGGGTGAGAACCATGGGAACTTCCAGGGTTGTTGGCATCAGAATCTGCAATCATGTAGAGACCCAGGCCCTGTCTGAAACTCACACTGAGCCAGAGCCACATAAGGGGATCTGGGGACTTGTTTTGTAATAAGCACCTTCTTAGTTCTTACAAAACACACAATTTTGAGAGCCGTGGGCATGGAGTGAGAGAAGAAATTGGAAATAGCTCACATTTGGGAAACAGCAAGATTTAAGGTAAGCTTTAAAATCGACTTGAAGCAGGGACACATTTGAGAGCATGACCAAGGCATATTTCACACACCCTCATCTTTACAAATGATTTCAGAGGTTCCTAGACACTTCACACCTTTCCTTGGCCCCAGCTAAAGAACCTGATATAAGAGGAATGTAGTAGACTCAAAACTATGAAGGAGGCTGAAAAATGAATCCCCCAAACTATCCTAGAGAACCAGGAGAGTTAGTCAGGAGACATTTCAAAACTAAAGACAGCAGCGTTAGAGTCTCCAGAAGCAGTCAGGTGACTTGGGAGACTCTCTTCCATGTATCCTTAGGAACAGAAGCCAGCTCCAGTGGCAGCTTGAAGAGTAGGAGGACTAGGGGTAAACGTAGACCATCAGTTTGCTGAAAGAAAGGAGCTGGAGGGGAGCCACTGAGAGTAAGGGCCAGTCTACTGGTGTTTATTAGGTGTGTCCTCTGAGTTACAGTCCTCTGAGTGAAAGATTACATTTCTAAAATGTGAACCACCATTAGGGTGACCACCTCGTGCCAGTGTGCCTGGACTGTTCTAGTTTCCATAGGGAATGTCCTACATCCTTGGGAAGCCCCTGAGTCACATGGGCTTGTTAGCAAGATAAAACAAACCTCCAAACCAGAGTGGGTGAGCTGTTTTGTCTGACAGAAACCATCAAGCCAGCACACTGGGCCTGAGCAGGACAACCACTCGCTTCTGGGCCAGTACACAGCACCCCTACACTGCTATGCTCTCCTGGATGTTAGTGTGGCCCAGGGAGCCAGTTTCTACCCTGGACCTGGGCTGAGGAGAGGCAGCTGACAGCTTCAGCAGCTTCCCTCTGTGGATTTGATTACCCTCAAAGTTGTGGCTTACTGCTCCCTATCCTAGCCCCTTGTGAAGCAGGGGACTCTGCTTGGTGATCTGTGGCAGATGCTGTTAGTAGCCACACTATCTCAGAGAGTAAGTGGGGTAGAAGTGCCACTGGAATGTCCCATTAGCACGCAATCACAAGTGTACCTTTTCTCCCACACTCTTAGAGCCATTGTTCAGTAATTGATTACTAGTGTGCACCAGGTGCTGGGGACTGGTTTCATCAAGAGAAAAACAAGAGTCTCTACCTTCAAGAGCTCACAGTCTCGGGGACAGACACTGAGAATCAGGACACACAAGTGTTGTGGTTGAGACAAAGGAGAGCATGTATCTCTAATCAGACAGGTACAACCAAGTCTGATGTCTTTCCCAAGGACATGATTAAGTTTCAGAACTGTATTAGAAAGTGTGGGGTATGTTTTGCCTGTATGCCTTTTAAGAGAGATACCAATGGATATTCAAAAGTAGTCTATGGTGTATGGTCTAAAAGAGTCAACTGCTGAGCCAGGACAAGGCAGAACATGTTACTTCCATTCTTCCCTTCACACAGTGCCTGGTAGTTTTCTGGAGGGCCTCTGAGGTCAGAGGGTGCTCTTCGGGTTCACATGAGGAAACGCTATATTCCTCTTCTACCACAGATGTGCAATGGGAAGCTTTCTTTGGAGTATGTCTTCAGGGCATTTTGAGAGAAACTACAGGCTCACATTTTTTTTTTATACTTTTTATACGAGCCCAAGATGGCAATGGAATTGAGCTGCTTTCCTGCCTTCTGCCAGGGAGGTAGCCCTCACTGGACACTGTACACACTGCTTAGAGCAAGCAGCCTGTGATGTCCCAGGAGGAAAGCTCGGAGCCTGGTAGCTGAGTGCCATTCAGAACAAATCTCAGTATGTAGTTTGAATCATCCCCTCAAATACACACATGCAGACACAGTTATAGTAGGATCATACAAAAAGCCTCAAGACATTGGGACCTCATGAGAACCAGCCTCATCTTCCCTCTCCAGCTTTGTAGGGTTGAATTTCATCAGAGCCATGGAGCTCTGAGGTCATGTGCATGCTGGCCTGAGTTACCAGGGGCCTGTTGAGAAGGAAGTAGGAAGCCTTTTTTTTTTTTTTTTTTTTTTTACAGAAGATCATTTTATATGTCTATATTTTAAAAATTCATTCACATACGTCTCTACATTATTCACTAAGCTATCAAATTTCTTCAAATGCTAACTAACTTAGACATAAGTTCACCATGCCCATGGAGTGTGTGTAGTGCTGTTTGTGTTCATCCAAGTGAATGGGCTGAGAAGACAGTTGAATAGCTCGAACCCAGCAGCAATGATTTTACCCCCCCCCCCAACTTCAAGGCCTATTCAGCTCACATTAGCAATATAAATGGCAAGAAGAATGTGCACTTCCTTTCATTTAGACTTACTAGTAGCAATAAACTGAGAGACAGAAAAGTACCATTCAAATGAGAGAAAAAAACAACCGCGTTTTTGGTTAACCACAAGAGCGCAAAGTGTTAAAAACAACAGCCAAAAAAAAAAAAAAAAAAAAAAAAAAAAAAAAAAGAAAAAAAAAGAAAGAAAGAAAGAAAGAAAGGAAATAGGAACCTGTCTGCCACTGGTGCTAAAGTATCTAGCACATGACAGCGCAGTGCAAATGCTTTATTTCTTTTATCTTTTTTACTAAGACCCCTGAATAGTGTGTGATAACCCAGATACATCGCACCCACTCTGGTGGCCTGCGGCTCTCTGCGTACTGTGTGCTTCATGCCTCTGCCTCTGTCTGGGCTGTCTATCTCCTCTGCCTGGACTCCTACATCCGCTTCATCTAGGAGCTGAACACTGTCATCTTTAACCCCAAACCACTTTCTTCATAAGTCTCCCCTGGGTCCCACAAGTTCTCTTGGCCAAGTAAGATTTGTAATTCTTTGTCTGATTCCTATCTGTAAGCTTCCTGCAGGCAGCCACTGCCCTATTCATCTGTTTTTTGACTCACTGGCATCTGTGCTAAGGTTAACACACCCAATTTGATCACTTATATACTAGAAGAAAAGCTGATAAATAAGGAATTCAATTGACGAGAGTTACTGAAATGGCAAAGGGGTTGGTAGATAGCTTTGCCATGAGGTAATGGGTAGAAAGACCAAGATGTTCCTTCAGTGGTTTGGTGGGCTGTCGTGGACTGTTTAGAAAACACTCTGTGACTGGAAAGCAAGGAGTAGAATGCACTGAGACCTAGGAGGGCTATCTAAATCAGTCATTCAACCACCAGCAGGGCTCTTTAGAGAGGAGTCAGTCAATGCCCAATTATTCAAAGGCTTGCTTGTGTTGTCAGGACTGCTTTAGTGAATGTGATGGAGAATTGGTTTATATCTAGGGCTCTTTTCAGCTCTGAGAGTCTCCAGTGAGCACTTATTAGACACTTGCTGTATGCACTCTATCGAAAGGTAATAGTCCATATCCTGAACCACAGGATCTGAGCCACAGAAGAGATCCTGAGCTCAGACCTCTACACTCAGGATGCGTTGGCCACATTTCCAGATCACAGAGGACCGACTGATCCTTAAAAGTGCCATTTCTGTGCTGGGTACAAGGCTCTTTTCCCAAATAGTTTGGTTCCCTACCCTTACTGTGATAAAATGAACCCAGTGTGACACTTTCCTTGCCTGCTTGGTCTGGTCCTTATGATTACCCAGCAGTGAATTACTGTTCACTTTGCTTCTTCACTGTTCCTCTGCACGGTGTAGACTTTATTTCCAGTCTACTGCTGTTCTGCTTGGTCTCCTTTCTAAGCACTTACTCTCCAATTGTCATCCACTTCTTAGCTTTTCAATTGGGTAATTACATGCTACTACATGCTACTTACATGCTACTAAGACTGTGTTCAAGATTCTTGGGTTCTGAAAACTAAATAGCTTGTAGGTGTCTTCATGTATTCATTTTAGTGGTGACATTTACCTCTCCAGAGAATGCTTCTGCTGATTCTTTGGTTTTCTGACATATTCTGAACAGGTGCTTTGCCAGGTGTCGTCAGCCCAGAACCAGTGTGTGTGGATAACTTGCTCAGTTCTTTAGGTCAGCTAACTTCCTCATTGTCTACACAGCATTTCTAATGCTGCCTTGTCTTGATACTAGATATAAACTGGACATTTTGTTGGATGTTGCAAAGAAATCCTCTGTGTGGTGTACTCTGAAATTAAACAGAACTGGCTGGATAGCTGAGATTCTATCTCTGGGTTCCTGGACAAACTCATGTGAATCCTCACCAGCCCCTCAGCCACTCTTTCCTCTTCATCAAATGGGGGGGTAATTAGTGGACACTTCATAAGCTGTAAGGCAGCAGCATTTAGATTCATTGTATTATTTAACATAGGATTTATAATAACTAATAATAATTCCTCTTTCCTCCAAGCACTCCTCCCTGCAAAGCAAAGCTGTGAGTCCCCCAAGCTGTGGGATTTGGGCAGATACTCTTCTACTCTGCATAGTCTTTTTTGGGTGACAAACTCATCACTTCACAGAACAGCACTGCTGCGGACAGTTAGAAGTTCTGGCAGCAAGTTTATGTCACGCTGCCTTTGACCTCTATTCCACCATAGCCAGGTGTGACACTGAAGATTTTCTTCTCTCTGCAGTGAACAGAGTATCTGCCAAGCGCGGGCTTCCGTGATGGTCTACGATGACACCAGTAAGAAATGGGTACCAATCAAGCCTGGCCAGCAGGGATTCAGCCGGATCAACATTTACCACAACACTGCCAGCAACACCTTCAGAGTTGTTGGAGTCAAGCTACAGGATCAGCAGGTAAGTGCTGGAGTCAGCATCACACCCCTGAGCTGCGAGCCTCCCAGTGCATGCTTGGTGAAAAGAGGGCCCAGGCACTTCACCATCTGGAGAGAGATCAGGTTCAGCCCTGACTCTGCAGCCTTATAGCCAAAGTGTGAAACCAAAAGCAAAGTATCTTCTCTGGGAGTCACTTCCCATGTCATATGCAAACAGTAAGCTACATCTTTCTGCTCCGTTGTGTCAGATCAGAATATAATAACAGATAAAATAGAAAATAAAATAAAACATTCTGTCAGATCAGACTAAAATAACAATTGTGAGAAGTCTTTGAAAAATACAGTATGCATGGGCTAGGGAGATGCCTCTAGGTAAAAGTGCACAAGTGTGAGAACTAGAATTTAGATCCCCAGAATTAATTAAAAAATTGGACAAGTTGGTGGCCATCTGCAGCCCCAACACTCAGGAGACAGAGATGGAGATCCCCAGGGCAAGCTGACTAACCAGAACATGCAAGCTCCATATCCAACCAGAGACCCTGCCTCAATAAACAAGGCAGGGAATGATCACCAGATGTGGTAGTACACACCTTTAATTCCAGCACTCAGGAAGCAAAGGCAGGCCCCACCTTGACTTTGAAGAGAACACCAAGGTGATAGGAGGAGGATGGTATCATCTCTCCCTAGCATACAGCCTGGACAAATCACCTGAGGCAGGTACAAGTCATTTCCCCTGTCCATGTCACACACAACCAAGGCAAAGTGGTCTAATGTAACTTAGTGACCTGGTAAGTGCCTCAGTGCTCCCCACCCTGTTGCTTGTGGGAGGATTGACAAGGCATTTTGAGCAGTGAGGCTGGAAGATCTGTAGTTTTGTTGTTTATTAAAACAACAGCTGAGATGGCTCAGTGGTTAAGGGACTGTCCTTCCAGAGGACCTGGGTTCAATTTCCAACATCCACATGTCAACTTACAACTGTCTGTAACTCCAGTTCCAGGGCATCCAATGCCTTCTTCTGGTTTCCTCGGACACCAAGTGCTCACAGACATACATGGTGCTTAGATATACATGCAGGCATACACATAAAGCAATAACAATAATAATAATAATAATAATTGTTGTTGTTGGCCGAGCGGTGGTGGCACACGCCTTTAATCCTAGCACTTGGGAGGCAGAGGCAGGTAGATCTCTGTGAGTTCAAGGCCAGCCTGGTCTACAAAGCAAGTTCTAGGACAGCCAGGACTGTTACACAGAGAAGCCCTGTCTCGAACAACAACAAAGACAAAAACAAAACAAATAATAATAATTGTTGTTTAAAAACACCTCTCCTTAAACAGTGTTTTTGGGTAGCTCTTTGGTCAGGCTGGCTAAGAGAACAGCAGGTTCAGCCCTCGTGAGTTTCAGAGTCTGTGTCCCTTCTAGGCGAGGGAGACAGACACACTTCTGGACTCTGCTCCACGGTAGCCTGCCTAGCCCTGAGCTTGTGCTGCCTTTCCTTCCCCTTGTCGATTTCTCTCTAGGCGTCTCCTTGGACATGAAGTCCATTGCCGGCTACTATTCCTGCATCAAAGTGGGTGTCCCCACGTGATTGCTGTTTTAATTTTTTTAATCTGCAGCTGAGGCAGGGAATCTCACTCAGTGTCTCATGCATGGTAAGCTAAGCAAAGGCTTCATGTGGACTAGGCAAGCACTCTACCACTGAGTCACAGCTGTAGTCTTTACTGATAACATGTGGCAAATTTTCTATTCCTATCACACCATTTGGTTGCTCATGAACCTCTAGTACTGTGAACCAAATGGATTTCTTTTCTCTATAGTTAGCCTGCTTCTGATGCTCCATTATAGTAATGAAAACAGACTAACAGCAAGTATACTGTTAAAAGATGCTGTGTGTTACACTGTGAGCCGGTGAGGTGAGCTGGGTTTTGGGGGAAGATTTTGAGAAGGTTATTCTGTCGCCAGATGGAGATTTGGGTCTCAAGAGTACCAGCCAATAAATTCTATATTGTATTTTAGATCCTAGCCAATAGCACAGCAGCCAGGGAGATTGTTCTCTACCATTAAGCTTCTTTCTTTGTAAAAGATCTTTAGATTATTTTTACTCAGAAGGCTCAAAACCATGTTAGACAGTATTTGTTGTTGCAAGGGCTTCCTCTAAAAAAAAAAAAAAAAAAAGGAAAGGCACTCCCATGTACTCCTACACTCCCCAAAATAAAATGTGCACACAGTGTTATTATGAGCTCCTATGTGGAAAGTGCAACATTTAAAAATAAGCTTATCCTTCGAAAGTACCTAAACGAGTCCTGCCAAATCCTGGGGAATTATCTTTAAAATAAACCTGACTAGAAAAGGTTGAAAGTGAAGGATTAGAAAACTGTAAACCTTAGAAACACTATCATAATAAGCTGGTGGCTGGTATGTATGTCAGATATGACAGGCAACAAGTATTCCAAAGAAAGACTGACCTTTTTAATAAGAGGCTCCATCAGAAGAGAAGTCACAGCAGCCCTAAATTTGAATGCATCTAATAATGTATGTTCTAAATATATAAGCAGAAATGGACCAATCTAAAGGTTTCAGGAAATAGACTAATTGCAAAGCCTACTTGCAGATTCTAATCATGCCTCCAAGTAGCATACTGAAGAAGCAGACAGAAATGAGTGGAAACAAAGGGATTTTTGTTAGCATTATTAACCAGCTTGACCTGATTTATGTTGTGGAAACTGCAGCCAACAGCTGTACAGTATTACAGGAGTCTTAGTTGGGCTTTCTATTGCTGTGAAAAGACACCATGACCACAGCAAACGGTTAATAAAGAAAGCATTTAATTGGAGCTGCCTTACGGTTCAGAGGTTTAGTCCATTATTATTATGGTAGGGAGCATGGCGGCACACAGGCAGACATGGTGCTGGAGAAGGAGCTGAGAGTTCTGCATCTGGATCAGCAGGCAGCAGGAAGAGAGTGATACTGGGCCTGGCTTGAGCTTCTGAAACCTCAAAGCCTACCTCCAATGACCCACTTCTCCAACAAGGCCACACCTCCAATAATAACACTCCTATGAGCCTATGGGGGTCATTTTCATTCAAACCACAACAAGATATATACCAACATAGCCCTTATGCTAGACTATGGGGCACACCAAAATGAAAATGATCAAAATCATACAGAGTATATTCTTTTAAATTTTCTATTATTATTTTGTCTATATTTGGTGTGTGGTGTACATAGTGTGAGACTGTGTGTGGATGCATGTCATCACTCGTGTGACGGCCAGAGGATAACTTTATGGAACTGGTTCACTACTTCCACTTTTACATAGGCACTGAGCATTGCAAGACTTGCATAACAAGCACCTTTGCCTACTGGGCCATCTCGCCAGCCCCTAGAGTATATTCTTTGATCACAGAGGAATCAAACCAGAGTCAGTAACAGGGAGATAACTAATAGAATCTCCACATTTGTTGTTGTTGTTCAATCAGCTGGTGTGCAGTAGTCATGGAAAGTAGTAGATTACTAACAGAATCATAGACAAACAAGAAATGGAAATGTAAGACAGAGAATACTTAGTGCTTCTCAATAGTGAAGATCAGCAAAACTTGTGAGTACACAGGAGAAATTTTGTGTTACAGATGCATATATTACAAAAGAAGAATGATTAAAATTGGCAGTCTGTGCTTTTTATCTCAGGAAGCTAGGGGAATAATAGTTAAATCCAACAAAAGTAGGAGGGAGAAAACCATAATTTTTTTTAAAACTAATGGGGTCTGGAGAGATGGCTCAGACATTCAGTGTTTGCTGCTCTTGCAGAGAACCTGAGTTCTGTTCCCAGTACCCACATCAAGCAGCTCACAACCAGCATCAAAGAGTCCAACACAACACCCTCCTCTGACCTCCTATACACATGTGGTATTCACACACACACAAGCAAATACATAAAAATATTTTTAAATGAAATTTTAAAAACCCTAACAATATAAAATGGATTAATAAATGTCCTGGTTCTTTGAAGCAAAAATGTTGGTTCTCTAAAAATAAAATTAATAAACTCATAATAAGTCAAGTGATTTTTTTAAAGAAAAATACAAATTGTGAATATCAGAAACCAAAAGAGTAGTATTACTCTCACCCTATAAACATTAAAAATCAATATGCTTGGAAGTTAGGCGGCTTAAATGAGGTAGAGTATTTATGGCCAAGTGCCTTAAAAGCTGCCAAAGCGAACATGAGAGTAATAGAAAAACTAAATCATGTTATATACTAAAGCAATTTAGTCTATAATTCCAAGTGTGACCTCCCCACAAAGGAGACGTCAGGCACAGGTGGCCACCCCGGTGAACTCTTCCATGCATTTGGGGGAAACAGTGCTAGACTTACAGAGCACCCAGAGGCGAGAGGACGGATCCTGCTTGACCCTGTTACCATGATTAGAACGTCACAAAACAGAAAACCACAAGCATTCATTTTAGTGAACAGAGGTATCTGAACAAAGAATTAATGACTTGAACCAAATAAATGTTTTTAAACTCCTGACAAGTGATATGATTTATTACAGGAATGCAAAGTTAACTTAACAAGGAGAAACTGTATAAACTAGAAAAGGCATTTAGTAAAACTCAGTGTCCCTTCATGATAAGAATGAAGAGGAAACTGAGAAAGATAATTTGGCACAGAGTATCTGTAGACAACAAAACCTCTACTCACTGTGCTTGCCCTATATTCCAGAACGAGAGAAGAAACTTCTCTTTCCTGTCAGATAGCTAATAGTGTAGAAAAGCGTCAACAAGATGGATCAGCAGGTAAAGGTGCTTGCTGCCAAGCCTGGTGACCTGAGTTCAGTCCCCAGAATCCACAGGGAGGGGAAAGAACCGACTCCCACTGGTCCTCTCACCTCCATGCTCATTCCATGGCACACACATGTATATACCCCTGCATACACACATGTGCACACCAAGAAATGCAATAAACATTTTAAATAGTGAAGAGAGTCTGATTTGCCTACAAACTATTATACTATGATTACTATAAAATGTATTAACATATTGTTATGCTAAATGAGTTTGGTAGACACCTATATTTTTTAATATATTAGCAATAAATAAAATTAAACTGTTTGAAATGATATTTGAAAGCTCACCAGAAAATTTCAAAGGCTTTGTTCGGAACAACTCTCCCTGCAGCTGCACACCTCCGTACATTGGAAGCTCTTAGGATGTCTGAGAGGACTCAAGCAGCCAAGCTGCTAGGAAACTGACCACATTCATGAACCGAGGCCAGGCTGTTATTAGATGTCACTTCTTCAAAATCTCATCCACTTAAAATTCCTGCAAGTGTTTTATAGAAACTAGTAGTTTGCTTCTAAGATTCATATGGAAATGTATAGGCTCTAAAAGAGCTGAGATCATCTTGAAAACCAAGGTGGGGGCTTGCACTGTCATATTTCAAGTCTTATATAAAGCTGCAGTAATTGAGGCAGGGAGATAATGGCATTAGGATCAACTAGCAGACTCATAAATTAAGGAAAGGCTATGTAAAGCCACACATATGTGGTCCCTTGATTTATGACAAGGTGTCTTTATATTCAGGAAGGAAAAGATGTTCTTTTCAATAAATAACCTCAGATTAGTCTATGTAAAATATGCGTACGCCATGCTTCAGATTTTTTTCAGCCTGAGCATTATAGGCAAACAGTTGCTGGGCACTCAGGAAGTTGAGGTGGAGGACTGCTTCAGATCAAGAATCCAGGGCTAGCCTAGGCAATGTAGCAAGGCTCCATCTTGAAAGACGCATGGGAGAGGAGCTCAGAAACCAGTAAAACTTTGAGAGGAAAATACAGGAAATTTTCTCATGACTTTAAGCAAAACGAGATTCTTGACCAGACATTAAGAAGCAGTAACTAGGGACTGGAGAGATGGCTCAGTAGTTTAGATCACTTGCTGTTGTTGTAGAGGACCCAGGTTCAGTTCCCAGCACCCTCATGGTGGCTCACAACCATTTGTAAATCTAGTTGTAGGGTATATGATACCCTTTTCTGACCTCCACTGGCACTACACATTCCTATGGTACACACATATACATGCAAGGAAAGCATATAAAATAAGTAAATCTAAAAAAAATTGACAAAAAGCATTAGCTATAGAGACAGATTATGGATGAACTTCATTAACACTAAGGAGTTTCCTTACAGCACATAAGAGCCTGGGAGAGAATACTGCCCCCCAAATATATAATAGGCCGATTTAATCAGGAAGGATACATGCAAAGCTGAAAAATAACTCTTAAAAAGCAAAATAGCTTAAACAAGGACTTCCCAAAAGAGATGTGGGCAGAAGTGACAAGCTGACAATGTGGCGAACAGTGTGGCAAGTGTGAGGAAGGTGCTCAGCCATTGTCTTTGGGGAAACACTGTGGAAACCACCCTGGGGGAAGCACTCCACACAACCCAAGGGTGCAATTCAGAAGCCAAACAATTCTGAGTATTTATGGCCAAGTGGATCTCTCATATGTAGCTCAGGAGAGGGGAAATTGGTACCATCTCCCTGAGAAACCTGACCAAGGCTACTAAACCTAAATGCACACAGACCATACCCCTCCCTCCTGGATCTATGCCCAAAGAAGCAAGAGCTTGTATCTGCTACAAATAATAATATTCATAGAGCAAAATAGCCAAGGGCTAGAGACCAATTCAGATGCTCATCAACAAGAGCATGAAGAAGTTATTTGCAGTTAAAGTGGGATGTGTAGCCCACAGTGGTGGTGCATGCCTGAAATTCCACCACTGGAGAGGAAAGGGCAGAAGGTTCATGAGTTTGAACCTCATGCTCCACAGCAAGTTCCAGACCAGCCTGGGCTATGTAGAAAGGTATGGGGGGCAGGGAGATAAATGGATTTTCACAGACATCCTGTTAAATGGAATGAGGCCATATGCCTTATCAATCCATTTCTAGTTTAAGAATTGGCAAGAGTTAACTGATAATGAGAAAAGGTAGATTATAGTTATCTCAGGGGGAGGGGCACTGCTGAGAAAGGGGACATCAGAAGAGAGCTGTACCATCCTAAAGTGGCCACACAGTGACACAAATGCCCAGCTGTGTCCTCGGACTTGCTCTATGTGGAACAAGCAAAGGAATGGAGCTCCCAAGTGGACACTAAGATTTTAGCTGCCACCAGTAAAGCCTCTCTGGCAATTGGGGAATATCAGGCTTCTCTCTGTCTTTGATCAAGTGACATTAGCTGTGCATTATCTGCTCATGTATTCAAGGCACACTTTGTGGGACTCTGCTTTATAAGAGGTCAGTTTAGAAGTTGTGAAAATAAATTTTAAAATGTTGGTGTCTCTCTGGTAGTTCGTCTTATAGGAGTGTTTTATCTTCACTGTTATATCTTAGGTGATATATTATTCACACTGTTGTCTTCTCTTTGCGTTTGATGGAATCTACCCACAGTTGCTCAGCTAAAAAGGAACAAACACGATTCAGTGTTCAGTGCTTTGGCTCAGTCCTCTGCTCATTCCTTGTACTGAGAACCACCATGTCTTCCAAGCAGTTGTAGACTGTTAGGTTATTTGTAGATAGTAGCTAGCAGCCTTTAGGCTCCAGGGATAGCAACAACAGAAATACCAGACCTAAGAGCTTCAGGAGATACAGAACCCAGAGACCTTCCATAAGAGAGATGTATCCTCCAGGAAAGTGCCACTGCACCCTGCCAGTATAAGGTCTTAAGACCCTGTGCAGCCAGAACCAATCCAGAAGGCCCCAGAGGTCAAAGCCAGGCCACCAGAAATTAGAGAACAATGTTAACTCATTTTGCTGGCAGTGAGCTGCAGCATGGAGTCCCCTCTGCAGACTCTATCAGCTCTCCCATTAGTTTACTGTGTAACTTTGTACAAGTCACTTGTTTTCCCTGGTCCTGATTTCCCAACTATAAAGAGAATTCCTAAAATCCCTGTGTGACTGCTGGCCACACTCCTTCTGTACCTGGGATGGGTATTCTTTTCCTCCTGATGCTTGCATGGCTGACTCCCCTCTGAGAATGTAGCCAGCCATCTCACCTCTTAGTTTTGGAAGTCTCACATCCCCAGAGCTTCTCCCCAGGCAGTCTTCTTTGTTCCCTCTCAACCAGCCTCAGTATAATGTTGCTTCCAGGCTTCTCCTTCACAACATTCTCTTTTGCTTGCTCTGGTTTCTTAATGTCCATCAAAACTATAGAGGGAAAATTGAACACAGAACATCTGCTATGGGTTGACTGGGACAGAATGGAAGAGGTTCTTAGCTCCCTGATTCTGTGCGAGACTCCAGCCTCTAACCCAGTGGTTCTTAACCTTACAAACACTGTGACCCTTTAATACAGTTCTTCATGTTGTGGTGACTCCCAACCTAAGAATTTTTCATTGTTACTTCATAACAGTAATTTTGCTCTTGCTATGAATCACGATGTAAATATCTGTGTTTTCTGATGGTCTTGTGTGACCCCTGTGAAAGGGTTATTTTGACAACCTCCCAAGGGGTCATGAACCACAGGTTGAAAACTATCGCTCTAACCTTAAGAGCCACTTTAACCATGCACAATTGGCAGTGCATCTCATACATACACTCCACAAAAGCTTGAGCCCTTTTCCAGTAGTGTAAAACTAAACTAGTGAATCCCCAGCTCGGGTCTTCTGCTTATCAGTACACATGTGTAAGTCTGCTCCTACTCAGGAACCTGTCTGTATACAGATATTAGCCAAAATACCCAAAATAGCAGGTAAGTTGTGAAATGATTGCATCTCTTCTGACTTAGTGTATGTGTCCAATGACTCACCTCACATGTTCATTTCATTATACATGGACCTAAGTCCACCTTGCATGTGCGGGAGAGCTAGGATGATGCTATTCCAGATGTTGTCTATAACTGCTGTCCTCTGGCTTTTCCTGATCCAGTAGCAGAGCAATATGAGCAGTTAAGGAGAGCAACAAACCATTACTCTATTCTTCCCACTTCACAGGCAAGAAGACTCTTAGCCAGAGGATCAGCTGCAGCTGAGTGATGGCTGCAGCCTAGGGTGATGTCAGCACTGACTTCACGGAGCACTTATTAGATCGCCTGAAATCTTTCTCTTTCAGTGTCTAGAAGAGCAAACATCTAGAAGCCAGCAGACCTGCTGTTGAGTCTCTGCTGGGCACGGCCCCCTGAATGTCTGCCTTCTCTGTCTCTTTCTCTGCCTGGCTTAGCATTGCACCTGACAGCTATGATGTCTGGTGGTTGATTAATAACAAAAATAGTAATGGGACTGTATGTGTGTAGTATATTCATTTCTACAAGTCATCCTTGAAAATAGAACTTGTTTATTATGAATTCTGAACACTCTGCTGAGGGTTGTGGGAAATTGAGACCAAACTGCAGAAGACTGTTACCCTTAAGGAGCTTCGTATCTAGAAGATATGGATAAAGCATAGCTAAGGTAGCTGGCACCACGAGATCCTTTTGGAATCCCCACAAGGTCAGTGAGGCAGCATTAGTATTTCCATCTTATTGTTAGAGAAACTGAGCCTCAGAAAACAGCACTGATCCCCTAAGTGGCACAGCCAAGAGACAGGGTCTGGACCAGAACCCAATCAGGGAATCTGACCCCCAGCTCAGACCTAGTTAAGTGAAACAGGTTTTCCAGCTGTTCACTTATGGTCTGAAATGCCTGATCAAGCCTTCCCTTCTGTGAACCTCATCCCCACCCCCACCCTGTGAATGAAAGGATACAGTATCTTTGCCCCATGGCAGCTCCCTCCAGCTCTCTTACATTTTATTTATTTACACGTATTTCTCTCTTTTCTCCTCCAGGTTGTGATCAATTATTCAATCGTGAAAGGGCTGAAGTACAATCAGGCAACACCCACCTTCCACCAGTGGCGAGATGCCCGTCAGGTCTATGGCTTAAACTTTGCAAGTAAGGAAGAGGCAACCACTTTCTCCAATGCGATGCTCTTTGCTCTGAACATCATGAATTCCCAAGAAGGAGGTAAGCAGGGTTTGTCTTTGCTGGAGGCTGAGACTCTCTTGTTCTGTCTGTGCCCTGGTTCTGCTTGTGTCCTGACTCACTACTTCATTTACTGACACGATGTAGACCCTCACAAGCCTGTTACTTGAGGTCCACAGTAATGACTAAGAATAGAGAAGAGGGAATAATGTGCCATTTGTGAAATGCAGGTTTGTACTAATGTGTTCCTGCAGCCCTCCGTGAGACATGGTTTATGTTGGCCATCCTACTGCTGTGTTCCAGAACACATACCTGACAAGAAACTGGCTAGGCAGAATAGATAAGAAGTGAACAGAGTCCTAACCTCAAGGCACTTTAGAATTTAATTTAGAGTTCACAGATTCATAAATAGCTAACTATTTATTAGTTAGTTCTACAGTGAGCGCTGGAATAAAATATATGCATGGTACTTGGGGACTGCAAAAGGAAACAAGGAACTGCCCATCCGGGCTGTAAGGGAGGCCCTGACAGCAGTGGTGATTTCGTGTGAGCCAAAGCTTAGAGGGGCAAGGATTACACTAAACAGGGTGTGTTGAGGGAGGGGAAGCTGCTGTTGCAGAGGTGGAGGTGGGAGAGCTTGCATGTGTCAAAAAACAAACAAACAAAAACCCACAATGCAGTGTATGGGGCCTGGGTGCAGTACACAGCAGCTAGATGAAACTGGAAGGTGGCAAGTTGGACCCCGTGAGGCTTGGGAATGGGACTAGCAAAAGCACCTGAGCAGAGCAGTTATAGCAGAGCACCAAACTGCAGGCAGCTTCGGGCAGCTTTGCAACTGCAGATGAGCCTTCTCAAAGAGGGCATTGCTGGCCTCATACATGGTCCTACAGTTGGCAGGCATCTTAACCTTGGTGGAGCATGGCGCTGGTGGAGCACAGGGCTGGTGGAGCACAGGGCTGGTGGAGCACAGGGGTGGTGGAGCACAGGGCTGGTGGAGCACAGGGGTGGTGGAGCACAGGGGTGGTGGAGCACAGGGGTGGTGGAGCACAGGGCTGGTGGAGCACAGGGCTGGTGGAGCACAGGGGTGGTGGAGCACAGGGGAGGTGGAGCACAGGGCTGGTGGAGCACAGGGGAGGTGGAGCACAGGGCTGGTGGAGCACAGGGGTGGTAGAGCACAGGGCTGGTGGAGCACAGGGGTGGTGGAGCACAGGGGAGGTGGAGCACAGGGGTGGTGGAGCACAGGGGAGGTGGAGCACAGGGCTGGTGGAGCACAGGGGTGGTGGAGCACAGGGCTGGTGGAGCACGGGGCTGGTGGAGCACAGGGGAGGTGGAGCACAGGGCTGGTGGAGCACGGGGCTGGTGGAGCACAGGGCTGGTGGAGCACGGGGAGGTGGAGCACGGGGCTGGTGGAGCACAGGGCTGGTGGAGCACAGGGGAGGTGGAGCACAGGGGAGGTGGAGCACAGGGGTGGTGGAGCACGGGGCTGGTGGAGCACAGGGGTGGTGGGCCAGGCTTGGAGCCACTTTCCTTGGTTTGAGCTCTGGTTTGCTGCATTCCAGTCAAAAAACCATTGAGCAAGTTACCAACTTACCGAGGTTCCTTGGCCTCAGCGTCCCTGCCTACAAATGCAGCCATGAAGAGTTGCTTTTACTTTTAAATGAGCTAGATGGTTGTCATCTCTTGATATTAGCATATGTATCATGTCACTGCTATTGCTACTGCCCACAGCTACCACCACTGCTGTTACCACCACTACCAAAACTCAGAAGTAAGGAGACAGGTGCCCGTGCTGCTAAAGGGAGATGGCATTTAAACATATATTGATCCTGACATATTGGTGCTTTGGGGCCCAGCTTACACACGTCAAGAGGTTTTGTGAGCTAATAAAACTATATGGAGTACAGTTGTGTGAGTCATGTGTGTTTTCTCTTGCTGTGCTAAGACACCATGACCAAGGCAGCTTATAGAAGGAAGAGTTTATAGGCATACGGGTTCAGAGGGTTAGAGTCCATGGCCATCAGGATGGGGGTGAGGGAGCATGGCAATAGGCAGGCAGGCATGGCACTGGAGAACAGTCATAGGGCGGCTGGAATGGCATTGGCTTTTGAAATCTCAAAGCCCACCCCCAGTGACACACTTCCTTCAACAACAACACACCTCCTAATGATTCCCAAAATGGTATCACCAACTAGAAACCAATCATTCAAACATGAGCCTGTGGGAGCCATTTTCATTAGAGCGTTCCGGTCCAGCCAAGGCCCTCCATGTGTGTATTTCCTGACCAGAACTATTAAAGGGGAAGAGAAATGTTCTTGTTAGATACCAAATGCTTTCAAAGCAAGTGCTGCTTGAATAAAAGCAGCTTTTACTATAGTCACCATGGCCCCACAAACAGTCAGTGCAGCCCTCGTTTTCAGATAAAGTACTCATGAACTATCATGAGGGGAGAGCTTATTGGGGTCACATGGTGTCAAGACTAACTCAGGCCCACATCCCCAATGGATTGAATGAGCGTTCTTGTTGAGGTTGGAATGGGGTTTGGGTGTGTGGATACAGTTAGTATGGCTGGTTAGCAGCTGATAGTGGCTGCTGAAGATTGAACTTTCTCAGCAACTGATGTATAAGCCTCCTTAATGATCATGCACAAATCTGAAGCAGGTGTCTACAGTGCTTACGTGTAACTACCCAGTACTTACCAAGACTGAAAGAAAGGCACCCTTGACCCAAAGGCTTCAGCAGCCACACAAGTTTCCTCCATACTGCAGAGTTGTTTTGACAGATTTTGAACTTATGATTATATAGTTGTTTGCTCTGTATACAACTGATTGCTCAAGTTGTGTGGATTGTATAGTTGCTTGTAGCATGACATCTTGAGTCCCAAAGTCGTGCATGATTCAGGGCCTAGGGTGGCATCTAGCAACCTCATAAACAGACATACTCCTTTCTTTCCCCCTTGGGAATCTCTTCTTGTAAGGCAGGTGTCTGGTTCCTGTGACCTTCTAGGGGTTTCTGTAGACCTCTGTCTCTAGAGATGGGGCTTGCTCAGCTTTTCCTGCCCCTCAGTATGTGGACAGACACTGGTGTGGACTTGGGGTCCTTCCAAGCCTGCAGACACAGGCTACTTTGCTGTCCCATCTTAAAGTAAGCAAATCCCCCACCCCTACCCCTTAATACCAGAACATGTCTTTGTGTCTTCAAGCTCTTAGTTAACTCTCACCACATCCCTGGGAGATGGTATCTCAGACGCCTTCCCTGCTGTCTGGACCAAGGAGCCAAAACCCAGAGAGGAAGCAACTGCCCAGAAATCACATAACCACTGCTGAAACTCAATGCTGGGACCAAGTTGTTTTCACAGTTCTGTTTTCTGGGTGTTAAAAATCAAACATTTCTGCCTCAAAAGGTTTCTTGTATTTACTTCTTTCTCTCTACAGTGGGATGTATTAGCTTGTTTTTTGTTTGATCTTGTTTAGTTTTGTTGTTGTTTTCAGACAGGGACCTCTATAGCCAAGGATGACTGTAACTGAAGTTTTCCTGGTCCCACCTGGCTTCCATGGTCCCGCACCAAGTAAAAACAGAGGCTTATATTAATTAAAATTTCTCAGTCATTAGCTCAGGCCTACCACTGACTAGCTCTTACACTTAAATTAACCCATACTTCTTATTTATGTTTAGCCACTGTGGCTTGGTACCTTTTTCTCAGTTCTGCTTTACATCTTGCTTCCTCTGTGTCTGGCTGGCGACTCCTGACTCAGCCTTCCTGTTCCCAGAATTCTCCTCTCTCTTTGTCCCGCCTATACTTCCTGCCTGGCCAATCAGCACTTTATTTATTAACCAATCAGAGCAACACATATTCACAGCATACAGAGCGATACCCACAGCAGATGATCTTAAACCCTTCTCCTCCTGCCTTAGCTTCTGGAATACCAGATTACAAGTGAGCGCTAGCTTGCCCAGCTTTGTTTAGGTGTTTTGTTCTGTTTTGAAGACAAGGTTTTTCTATGTAGCCTAGGCTTACCTCAGACTTGCAATCTCCCCATCTCATTTTCCTGAGTGGTAGGATTGCAGGCCTGCACCTCTGTGTCTGGCCTGAAAACCACTATTAACTCAGGCTTCTTCACATTATTCTGGAAGAGGACAAAGTACAACAGAGTAGGATTTTTTTACTGTCTGAATTCTCCATGGAAGAGATTCTCAAGCATTTGACTCTTGACAGATCTGCTTTGCTGATGTTTTTTTACCAGGTACCTACTGGATCTAGCTTCTTGTTTTAGTGAGTTTTGGATACCCAGTTTTCAACTTCAGGCCTAATCCAGGGAAATAAAGTCACTTTAGCAGGTACAAAATAGGTAAAGTAACAGTAACAGAGCCAGGTGTTTCCCACTGCCTATGAAGAGGTAGGGCATCTTAGAGCCAGCTGAAGCTCTCACAGGTCTCAGACACAACTCTGAATTCAGGAATTGGCCTGAGTGGGGGTGGGTTTCAGTCTCTGGCTTACTAAGGCTTTTTCTACAGATTGACATCTAGAAGTCACCTGAGGTGGGAAGAGCTATCTAGTTCTAATGCTGCTCCTGCCCGTGTTAAGGAAGTCAAGCTCTCTGTGTGGGTTGCTCTGGAAGCCCCAACTAGTGGAAACAGTGCTACAGCCTAGCTGTGGTGGCTGCCGTCTGTGTCTACTGCTAATCTACAGAGCATTCCCCACAGACCATGTGACCCAGCTTTCCTGGGTACTGTGTGACAAGGCATGGTGTGATGGCTATAGGATGGTACTTAGGCTCAGGGGGGACTTGGGGAGGGAAACTTCTTTGGCCTAGGGGCATGTAATGATTATGCAATAGTTAATACTTGGGTTTTCTCTTCAAAGCCTACATTTTCCCCCCCAGGCTGCTTATCCAGGTGGCCCTTCCCTGCTCTTCTTGAGAAATGGTTCTCACCAACCAAGAAGCCTAGTTGAGATGAGGGCCCAGGAACCCCCAAGGGCACTTAATTGGGCTACAGACGTATTTTTTTAAACTCTAAAGCACTTAGGACAGCCAGGAACAGCT